CGGGGGCTTTGGGGCTGCGGAGCGTGGAGCCCGAGGTGAGGGAGCGAGGCCAGGCTCAGATCACAGCGCCCCGTGGGACAATTTGTGGGTGTGAGGGCTTCGTCTAAGCGCAGTGGGAGGCCGCAGAGGGTGGAGCTGGGGAAATACAATTAAAGCGAGGATTTTCCAACCCTGAAAGCCCCTCTCAGAGGCAGCCCAGCTCGACACTGTTACTGTTGCACAGGCTCGGAACGGGACGCGGGGGAGGTCACAGCGGCCGCCAGGCCAGTGCGGAGAGGAAGGAACCGCAACCCTGCCTGCAGCCAGGCCGCCCGCGCTCCCTGGTCCTGCAGGAAAAGGGCTCGACATTTGTCACACGCACTTCATCCTAACTTTACGTGGGAACCAGGGACACTGTCTGTTAGCTAGTGGCTTTATCCAGAGGAAAAACAAACGTTCCCACCTTACCACAGGAGCTAGTTCTGCAACTTGGAGCGAGGCACCACCAAGTGCCGCCCGACCCTCCCACGGGAGACGGGGACCTGCCTTCCCTGCTGCTCGCCTTTCAAAGGCATGGCTCCCGGGTGCTTGAGAAAAACTTCCTGGCTGGTAAAGCTGGCCAGCGTGGCTCAGGGGCTGTGGACCTAGGACCCAGGGGGTCCCAGTTCCATTCCCTCTCGGGGCACATGCCCGGGTTGCTGGCTCCACCCCCAGTAGGGGCATGCAGGAGGCAGCCGATCAGTGACTCTCATCATTGATGTTTCTCTCGCCCTCTCCCTTCCTCTCTATGAAATCAATAAAAATATTTTTTTAATAAATAAATAAAGCTGGTCAGCAGCTTATTTAGCTTCTGAAAAAATTTACACAGAATTCGGAGACAGAGAAAAACACACAATAATGAATTTTCTAAAGCGCTCTAAGGAAAGGAAGGGGAATGAGATCCCTTTACATTTTTGGCAGGGGGATTAAATCTCTTGTTTTTCATTATTTGTCTTCACAGTGGCGTGATTGGGTGTTTGCTTTAAGAGTATCATCTGGGTTCTCAGAGAAGAAGGAACTGTAAGGGGGAAGCCCAGGAGAAAGAAGACCCCTGGGGAAGCTGTGGATGGTGCTGAGCCCAGGGGAGTGGTGGCAGAAATGCAGAGCTGGGCAGATTGGGATGAGAGTTGGAGGCACACCCCCGGGGTCCGCTGAGTCTTGGCCCTGAAGGAAGGCAGGGAGTCAGGATGCCTCTTAGATTTTGGCTTGAGCAACCCTCTGGAGATGATGCCATATTGGGAAGGAGAGGCTTACTAGGGGAAAATCAAGAGTTCTGTTGTGGACATGTTAGCATTAACTTCTATTATGAATCCAATTTCATATGTCAAGTAGGCAGTTGGATACATGAGTTAAGGTTCAGGGCCGGGGCTGGAGACTTTAATTTGGGAGGAGAAACTGGTGAGGGAGGAAGAGAACTGAAGTGTGGGGTCCCAGAAACCCAGAGATGGAGAAGAGAGTGTTGGGAGGAGAGGTGGCCAGGCGGGGATGGAGCTGACAGGGTCTGCCCACACGGGGGTGGGTGCTGCCTGGACAGAGTGGATTGGGTGGAGCAGAGGTGATGGAGGCTCACCTGGATGGGTCAGTGAGTAGATGGGAGGAAGAGGAGAGAAATGAGGCAGTAGCTGGAGGGGCAGTGGGTTTTGAGAAGATTTTGGTTTTGTTCTGATTCAATTATTTGAATATTTGCAAATAAGTAACAGGTGCACAAGGTAAAACGTTTAAGCAATCCAAAACCGTTCAGTCCCTGCCCACACCCTCCCCTTCCTTCACCAAAAGGAATGAAGCATGGGTGACAGCTTCAGGTCTTCTTGGGTTGTATTTGGGATCTGGGGGGGTTCAAATTAGATGTGAGATACAGGAGACTAGGAACAGTGCAGTCCAGAGGGCGGACTGATGACGGCAGAGAGGGGTAATTCAAGAGAGAGAATCAGGGACGGGCAAGGTGGGGAGAGGCAGGGGCCCTGGCCAAGTGGAGGGCTGGCCTTTGTGGGAGCAGGGACACCCTGCGCAGTTGTGGAGGGCGGGCGTGGGGTGAGGCCCCTAGGCGGGGCCTGGCATGCCCTGTTTTGACAGCACCGGACAGGCTGTGCTGCACAGTGAAATCTCCTGTGAGCACCACCACACTCATCCCCAAACCAGCCAGCCGTAGCCAGCTCGCCAGCTGCTGGGAGGAACCTGCTTAAGGACCCAACAGGCAGGCAGCCTCAGCAGGCCTCTCCTACCCACCCCCAGTCACCTGCTCTGCCCAAAGCCCTGCCCCAGACTATCCTCACTAGACCCCATGTCCTCTCCTCAGGCCCCTAAGGCCAGACCTCTGGACCCAGACGCTGCCTGCCTGAAACTGCCGGGCACTGTGGTCCTGGAGGCTAACCTGGTTTCCTGCCCTCTGCCCTGGGAGCAGCACTCTAAAACCCCCTGGGTTTCGTGCTGACAGCTGCGTGGTCTCACTGAGGGACCCCTGCTCTAGATGCCAAAGGTAATTTGAGAGGAGTGCTTTGGTCCTCAGTTTCTGAGCCACTTGTCCTCTGCTAGACACATGAGAAATGAAGCTGACATCTCTCCCAAAGTTTAGATGAAAGGCAGACATCTCCACACCAGGGCCTCCTGTCATGAGGCCTGGGGGGGGAGCTAATGTGAGACTTTGTGGGGCCCTTTGGGGAGCCCTTCCCTTCACTGCTTGTCAGGATGGTATTGGTGGGGCTGGAACAGGACAGCAGAGGATGGGTGGGTGCGGGGCTGCAAAAGAAGCAGGCTCACACTCATTTGTCCATTTGGAAAACTTTATTATCTTACATGCCCAGCAAGGGGGCAAGGACTTGGGGAGGTGAGGCCCGAGGCCTGAATTGTCGTGGGGGTGTGCACTGGTCCACAGAGCAGTAAGGGGGGCTCCAGGAACAATTCTCCAAGGTGCTGGAGAGCAGGGTGAAGGCACAGCACGGGAGGCCAGGTGCGGCAGCTTCAGTGGCGGGTCATCTGTGAGGAGGACATGGGCGCAGTGAGGCCCTGGTTCTATGCAGGCCAGGAGGCTTCCAACAGCCAGGTTGTCTTGACAACACCCCCCCACCTCTCACCTTGGCCACACTTGGGGGGTATCTGCCTTTGAAGGGATCTTCCTTCAGCAGAGACCTCACCAGGCAGGAGCGGCGGTGGGAGAAGGTGATGAAGCTCTGCTTGCCGTGGTAGGATCCCATGCCGCTGTTCCCTGTGAGGAGGAGAGCTCAGGCCCAGGAGCCCCCAAGGCCCCCAGACCCTCCCAGGGGCAGCCTATTCCTCGGGCATCCCCCTAGTGTCCATACCCGGAACAACAAAGACAGTGCCCAAGGCGAGCCTCTGGCCCATGTTGCCTCTCTCAGGACCTCTGTGAAACAGGCTCAGGGCACCAGGTGACCTTTGGGGCCCTCTAGGGTCTCAAGGTTAAGGGTGGCTAATGGATATGCAGGCAGAGGCCAGAGAGTCACATGGGAAAGGTTAGTGGGAGTCTGAGACCCAGGGCTGCTCCGGCCCCTCCTGAATTCCCAGCCCAAGGGTAGAGGGGACACCTGTGGGGAGCAGGTAGGCTGCCTGCCCACCGAGAGCACCAGAGCCCACCCCAGGCCTACCCCAACACTCCACCCCAGACTCACCCACACCCCCGAATGGCAGAGTGTGCACTGAGAGATGGATGATGACGTCGTTGGCGGTCACCCCGCCACTCGATGTCTCTGCAATCATCTTCTTAATCACCTGCAACAGCACCCAGCCCCAGCCTCAGTCTCCTGCCCCAGGACATCCCAGGCCCCCTCCCCACCCTGACTGGGTACATCCTGGAGCCTCAAAGATGTGAGCTGGTGGAGGTAGAGCCCCAGCCGTGGTCTGCACCCTGAGCCCCAGTCAGAGCCCAGTCTCCCCACTTATCAAGGACTAGGTGGGGAAATGGTAACAGTTCCCGTGACTTATGGAGGGCACTGTCAATGATCATGTCACTCAAAGGTTAAGCGACCTGCCCGAGATCACACAGAGGTGAGAAGGGAAGCTGGGATTTGAACCCAGGTCTGTGGGCCCTTGCACTGTTGACACGAGTGCTATGCCCAGGAACCCCAGGACCCCGGGAGGAGGGCACCCCAGGCCCACCTTGTCGTTTTGGGAGAACACATAGAGAGCCAGGGGCTTCTCACGCTGGTTGATGAACTGTATGGCCTCCTCCAGGCTGCGCACGCACACAATGGGCATGATGGGCCCAAAGATCTCCTCCTGCATCACCGGGGACTGAGGGTCCACGTCCGTGAGGACGGTGGGGGCTGAGGCAGGAAACAAGCCAGAGTCAGCCAGTGCTGAGACCCTGGCCCTCCCCACGAGTCCCAGCATCTAGCTTCCTCCCTTCACTCCTTTACTGATAAGGCTGCCGAGGCCTATAGAGGGACAGAAACAAGGCCTCCACCCGCCTGGGCTCCATCCTGCAGACCTTGGCAAGAATGATGGACTAACTTGTATGGAAGGGAGCCCAGGCACTGCACCCCACCAGCTATCTGAGCCCCTGCCGAAGCTCTTCCGTCCCCTGCAAGCTGGAGGCTGATTGGGACCCTATCTGGTGATCCTCAGGCCTCGGTACTTGGGGCCCCTCCAGCTCTGCACACCCGGGCCTCTTGTGCTGCTGTTCACACCCCCTGCCGATGCTTGGGTAGGGGATGAAGCTGCTCTCTGCACCTCATGGGGAGAGGGGCTTCTGGGCTAGGGCAGGTCTTCCCAGGAGCTGTGCGCGGCCCCTGCCCACCGAGAGCACCAGAGCCCACCCCAGGCCTACCCCAGCCCTCCACAGGGTTGTCTGCTCTTCAAGTATCTGTGCCCACTTGCTGCCACCTTGCAGAGACGCTGGCAGCCTGGGCAGGCGGCAGTGCTCTTCCAAAGGTGAGCACACACACCTATGTACCGGCTGGCCGCATCCCCGGTGCCTCCGAAGGCAATCTTCTGGCCCTCCAGCAGGCCCATCACCCTCTGGAAGTGCCGGGAGCTGATGATCCTTCCGTAGTCACGAGACTTCTTGGCATCATCCCCATAGAATTCCTGTGGAAGAGAGGTGACAGGCTTCAGATAAGAAGAAGGACCCTCGTCACAGCCAAAGGCTGCTAGGTCGATGGCCACCGGCCTGGGAGAACATGTGGACACTGCCTGGCCAGTGCAGTGGACAGTGGCACAATGACACCAGGGACTATGGGGTTGCCACATGTCTGGGGAGCGCCATGGTGTCCACGGCATGGGAAGTGTGGAGACAGCACTGTCTCAAAGAAATACTCGCTCAGCGTCTGGACACCCAGTAAGGAGCTGTGTGTTCACAGAAAGGAGGAGGGAAGGGGACACACCAACCAGTCAGCAATCACTGTCTTTGGGTGGCAGGATTCTGGGTGGAACTTTTTTTCCCTTCTTTATGCTTTTTAATCTTTTCCAAATTATCGTGTGGATTACTTTTATGATCAGAAAAGAAAATCCAATTTTCTAAAGTTCACACCCACCTATCTCACCCCCATGGGCCAACACTCACCTTCAGGGACTTTTTGAGCTTCTCCACGATTTGGTTTTGGATGGAGGGATCACAGAGAATGTAGTCAGGGGCCACACAGGTCTGGCCACTGTTCATATACTTCCCCCAGGCAATGCGTCTGTGAAAATCCCAGATTAGACTATTTTTCAACACGGGAGGCTACCCAAGAACAGGCACCTCAGTCCATCAGCTCAGGATCAACTCAAGGGCTGAGGAGAGAGCGGTCTGCAGAAGCCAGAGTTTGTGACTTCCCAGCAGGGTTGGCCCACTGGCTTTGAGATTCCAGACAGAGTAGACCCATGTCCCTGAGTGCTCACAGGGGCCCGTGGCACTGCACATCTTTACCTCATCAGTGAGTGCTGGGAATGTGGGGGGGATGTCTGGGGCGGGCAGCCTTTGTGCCCCTCTGTTCATGCCCTTGAGCCCTGCAGCCAGGTGTCACTGCTGCTGGGGGTCTCCCCACCCTGGAAGGCTATGCAGGTGGGATATGGAAGTTGGGCAGAGCTCTGGCTGAACCTCTCCTCTGCAGGAGGCCTCCCTGGGGTGCCTGCTCCCCCCACCTCTACCCAGGCTCCTGCCAGGACTGCAGGCACTATGAGGGCAGGGACAATGTCTGTGTCACTCAGAGCACGTGTGGTCCTCATGAGTTGGGAGGCAGTCAGAATGGCCACACTAGCTCAGACAGGCACCGAGCTCCTCACCTGCAGGCGACATCCAGATCGGCATCCTTGTCCACGTAGCAGGGGCTCTTTCCCCCCAGCTCCAGTGTGACAGGGGTCAGGTGCTTGGCTGCTGCTGTCATAACGATCTTCCCGACTCCAGTGCTCCCAGTATACAGGATGTGGTCAAATCTCTCCTTGAGCACCTCGGTGGTCTCGGGGACGCCCCCATTGATCACTGGGTACAGATCCTTCCGTGTGAGGGGAGAGCAAGGCTCAGAAGGGACCACAGACCCTCCTTGCTCTGCCCAGGCAATATCGCCAAGCAGACACCGTCTCCTGGCTCAGGGGCTCTGTTCACCGCAAGGGGAGAGGCCAGCTGTCCTCACCACCACCAGTGGCTTGGCCCCTTGCTGCAAGAAGTCACTATCTCTCAATCCCAGGACCTGGCCCCACAGTTCTCCTTGGGCCCTGGAGAGCACCTCACCTTATCCAGGTACTGGGGGATGATGGTGGCCAGCAGGTTGGCCATGTTCTCGCTCAGCTCCGAGGGCTTGAGGACCACGGCATTTCCTGCAAGCAGAGTCAGGGTGGCCCCACCGCATTGCTCTGCCCTCCCAGTCACCAAGCCTGGTGCCTCCCTCCATTTTCTGTGTCCTCAGAGGAGTGAACAGCAGAGCTGTGGGCACATGCCACAGGACCTGCCCCACCTGCCCTGTGCAGTTGATGACATGTGGGAAAAGAGCAAAGGAGAGAGGGGAGAGAAGTGCTCGGAGCCCACGCAGAGCACTGGTAAGAAAACCCTGACACATCTTAGCTGAGAGCTCTGCACAGCCCCACACACGGGCAGGGAGGAAAGCTACATGCACATCTGAGCCTGGCTGGGCCTGGAGGGCACCAGGAGGCCTGGATAAAAAGTTTGGTCCCTGCAGCCTCCTGTGAAAGACAGACTCACTAAACTCTGCCTGACCCCAGGACCCATCTTCTCACAGGCCTGAGCTCCCCTGGCCCCACTCTGCAGTGAGGAGCAGTGATCCTTCCTGATCTCCCGGAAGGAGGCCCATGGTACCTGCAGCAATGGCGCCCACCATGGGCTGAACGGTGAGATCGAAGGGGTAGTTCCAGGTGCCAATGATGAGGACCACACCCAGGGGCTCTGAGTGAATGTAGCACTCATCCTGCTGGGTTTGGGCAGTCTTCTCCACGGGCTCATCCAGAATCCACTCGGGGAGCTTCTGGATCGTGTACTCGATCTCCTCCAGGCAATATACCACCTCCTCGTGCCAAGCGTTCCATTCGTTCTACAGCGAGAGGGCTCCTGTAAGCTCGCCAGCCACCGGCTCTGACTGGGCGCTGCCAGGCTGGCTGTGGGTCCCGCTCGCTGCTCCCTCGCTTCGTGACCCTTAATGACCTGCTACCCTTTCCTAACCTCAGCCTCCCAATCTGCAAAATAGGAGCATGCTCTGAACTCCCTCGGGCTGTTGGGTGGCACCTTGAACAGAGCCCCAAATGTCCAACCACGGGAGGGGGGGAACAGGCCAGGGAAGGCACACGGGGAGCAGAGCTGGGGAGCGGCCACTGGAGCAGTGGGTCTTTGAGGGCTCCTTTCTGCCAGGCCTGGGGGTCCAGGAATGTTCGGAAGTGTTAAGTTTAAGGTGCCTGAAGGATCCCTGACCTCGGCAGTGATCCGAGAGCCATTAATGCGCCGAGGAGAACGGAGCCAGGGAGTGCCCGGGGGCCCTTACAGATTAAAATGACCCTTGAGCCCAGGACGGAGCCCTAAGAAGGCCACCTTCAAGAAGGGGCACAGGAGAGGGGCTTCCAGAGAGAGGGTCAGGAGTGAATCCAGGGGAA